CCCTAATAATCACATATTCTCAGGCCTAGGTTTGGTGGGGACCCAGGAACCAGTGGGCAGGGGGTGTTGTGGGAGGGGGGCTGTCAAAATAAAAGACTAGATTTAAACAACAGCTGGGGGACAACTTTGGGTGAGTCATTGCCCAGAAATGTATCAGGGAGTAAAGCCAGATTGGGGAGAAATTTATGACTGCCGGAAACACAGTGAACCTATCAAAAATAAATGAAATTAGCTACAAAGTTAGGAAGTCAAAGGCAAAGTCCTGTTTGTTTTGTGAATATAAACAGTTTTAAAATGTAGCAAGAATAGGAAAAACAACTCTACACCAGTACCTGGTGTAAGTGATGCTTTGGGGACACAGAGGAAGTGGCCGTGTTCCTGGACCGGATGCAGGCCAGAGGGAAGGACCCGTCACAGGAGGTGGGTGAGGGCGGGATGCGGAATCCTGCAGACCCAGGAGATCTGGAATGTGAGCTCCTGGGATTCCATAGGGATCTCGATGGCTGCCAGGCCTAATTCCCACTGGATGGGGGAGGGATATTTTTATTTATAGGTGAAAGGGAAAGGTGAGCAGGACGGAAGGGCAGGCACCAGGTCACTGCCATTGGTTAAGCAGGGCCCCTCTGTGTGTCCCAGGGACTCGGGCTGGGAACCCAAATCCCCAGAGAGGCCAAGGGTCAGGCGGGAAGTAATGCAGAGCAAAGTTAAGTCACAAGGCAAACCCACAGGTCCAGAAACAACCTGGCTTCCAGGCAGCTAGGGGAGAGGAAGTGGACATGATCTAGAAAGAGGAGCTGCTGACGTCTGAGGATGGGATTGGGACAGCACCCCTAGAAGGCCAAGTTGGAGTCACAGCCAGGATTAGGGGAAAGAGGGAGGCCTTGGAGAGGAGTGGACAGACTGCCCATCATAGGCAGCAAAGAAGCCTGGACTTCAGTCTGCAGGCCACAGACCTTCGAGGAGACTTGGGAGGTAAACCTGTATCAGCCATGCAGAGGAAGAGCAGAAGAAAGACCAGAGACCTGTGAGCAAGAACAAACACAGCCTCAGCCATGTTGTCCTCATGGTCCCCCAGGACAGGGGGTGGCTCCAGGGAGTCTGTGAGACCAGGTGGAAAAGACAGCTCCTTGGCTGATTGACAGTAGCTGCTGGAATTCTGGACCTTTGAGAAAAAGCTACCGCTGGTCAGTGACACAGCAGATGGGCTGGATCGGGTGTTGGGGAGCGAAGACATTCATCTACACATTTGATCAGTGTTTATCCAGCATCCAGTGGGTGTCACCCTGGTCGTGGCCCCACCTCCCTTTGACCTTGTCAAAGGTCACCTGGTCTTGGTCTCATTCTATCTGGGTCTTACACAAATAGATGCTTGGTAGTTATTTGTGGAGGGAAGAAAACCAAAATATCAAACAGGAATGAATTACTTTTATTCCCCCAGTACTGAGAATTGAACCCAGGGCTTCCACACTGAGCTGCATACCCAGTCCTATTTTATTTTATTTTATTTTATTTTATTTTGAGAAAAGGTCTCACTGAGTTGCCCAGTTTGGTTTTGAATTTGTGCTCCTCCTACCTCAGCCTCCCAGAGTACAGGGATTATTCATGAGTGACACCACACCCAGCTCAATTTTCCATTTTTTTTTCATTCATTCATTCCACTGAAAGACTGGTATATCCAAATTGCGGTGCCCTTTCGAGGATTTGAAGATGAATTATACCCGATGTTTGCCCTCTAGGAATTTTATAGTGCCATCTGGAGATGAGACTCTGCCCATGGATATCACAGCCGATATTTATCTGTCTGGATTCCTTGGCATGCCTGGCTTCAGGGAGGGGTCCTGGGGACAGAAGGCAGATGCTTGGAAAATCCACGAGGCAGGGGGAGCCAGCCTCTTCTGTGAAGCAGGGCTCAGACCTCAATGTCCTCCCTGGGCCTGGAAGCAAAAGCTGGGAAGGGGCACAGCAGGAGGACAGAGGAGAGTGGCAGCTCACAGCCACTGAGCCTGGCTCTGACAAGGCCAGGCTGCTTGTCATCTGGCTGCTGGCAGTGACCACTGTGGGGTCAGGAAGCAGCCCAGGAAGAAGCCAAATTCCACCCCTGCCCACCCCAGGCAGGCATGGCAAGGCCGACCACAACAGGTGCCGGGGCCCAACCTGAGTAGCTGCCCCTTGCAGGCAAGGCCTTGGACTGGGAGTGTAGGCACGCCTAACCTGCAGGGCCCAGTGCAGCCTGCCAGAGCTCAGCTACCAGTGTGGCCTGGGACCCTCACTCGAGCCCCACGGCCCACAAATGGGGCATCCTTGACTCCCTAGGCTTTGTCTAAGAGAGGGCAGGAGCTGTCATGGACACACACAGATGTGTACACAGGAGGGCTCCATGTCACATACCCACATGGCTCCCCTGGGCTTCCGCAATGCCTGTTCTGTCCCTCTGTGGCTTGTGCCCAATGACCCACAGCAAACACATCCTCAGGTGTCTCTGTGACCTCACACCCTGGGCCCCAGCAGGGGCTCTCTGTTGTTCACACTTTGGTGAGGATCTTCTTGCTTGGCTGTTGGCAGAATGGATAAGACCTGCAGCTGTCCTCAGGAAGGTACAGTATGTGTGGCAGACACACAAGAGAGGGAATGTGTATGTGTGCACACGCACGTGCAAAGAACACGTCACTGTAGGGGGTGGAAGTTAAAAAGGAGAGCACGGACTTCAGCTCTCTGCTCAGAAGACTTTTATTCACCCTTCAAGACCCAACTTACACAGCCTCTTTCCAGGAAAGCTATTTCCAGTACCCCCTACACCCTGTAAGATCTATCACAGGCCTCACCTGACATCTGCCACACAGCTGGTGGCAGCCGATGCTTCAGAGTTACAGACAGACAGGAAGAGAGATGCAGGTGATGGAGGCTGTAAGGGAGAGGGGTGAGGAGCGGACGCCCTGGGTCTGCCCCGCAGCAGCAGAAGTGCCCTGCCCCTCACAGAAAGAGCCCGGGTGAATGGCTGGGCAGAGAAGATGCTGCTGGACTTGCCAGAGGACCATAAGGAGCACCTGCCTTTCCTGCAGCAAGCGGACAGCTCAGCGGTTGCCGAGTTTGGGTGGATAGCAGTGGAGTTCCTGAGGCGAGGACTGAACCCTAAGATCTAAGAAGGCGCCATCGGAAGACTCCTCGTGAGCAGTGACACCACCCAGCGTGGCGTAGGAGGAGTGACCTGTCCCCTCGCTCAGAGCTCCAAGCTCATGATCTCTGAATTTCCAAGACTCTCTTTCTGTTTGGGGATTCTCTGAAGAATTAAACGAATTACTGCTTCTGCTTTATCTGGACAACAGAAAGGAAATCAGAACTATTCTAAGCAAACAGGCACCTGGCCTTCCCACTTACCATAGCCTTGATGTCCAGTTGGCAAGGGGTCTCCGGCAACAGCTTAAACCTGAGGCGTAATCACGATGAAGATCACAGCACCGAAGTTCTGTGCAGACAGAACAGAAGCCACCCTGCTTCTTTTAGAGCAGCAACAGGAGCGAGCATTGGAGATGAAAAGAAACCACTCTAGGACAGCAGGCCACAGGTAGGGTCTGCTTTACTCCTTCAGGTCGTCTGCGAATTGCTGATACACAGGAGTTGAATTTTCAAAGTTAAGTTTCTGTTAACCGATGTGATGGGTACTGAGATTCCGTCCTTCACCGTTCCTGGGGGCTGAGGTCATGATCTGGAGCTAAGCCACAGTGCTCTCCTGGGGCTAACTGCGGTCAGCTTCTTGACAGACTGTAATGGCCTTTGTATTCTAAATGTATGAGGGGGATGGAATTGGCTAGAAATGTACCTATACTGTTCCTGGCTTGTGTACCTATGAATGACTATATTGTTTTTGGTAATATCAGATTTTTAGACAACTTTTATGACTTTTAAAAGCACCCCATGTAATCCCAGAACTTGGGAGGCTGAGGCAGGAGAATTGTTTGCAAGTTCAAGACCAGCCTGCGCTACAAAATAAGCCTGAACTGCATAATGAGACCTTGTCTCAAAAAGACAAAAAAAGAAAGAAAGAAAGCATCCCATGATGTTAAAAGCCACAGAATAAAGTAAATATGATCTTTATTTTAAAAAAGAAAAAACAAAGAAGAAGAAAAGAAAGAGCCCATGGTCAACAGTCTGATGCTACTAGGCCACATTTCCTGCTTCTCCAGGAAGTGGCACCAGGGTTTCAACGGAGTGCCTGGGTGGCTGCCCTTCCACAGCATCCCTCGTGGTCCCGCCATGCCACCTTGTCCAGCCGCTTTCCAGCACCTTTGCTCTGACCCCTGCTTCTGTGCCACTAGGGTCCCTGGCCGAAGGCCACACCTGAGAGCCTCGCACAAGAGGAGGCTCCCTGCAGCTGGCTCCTCGGCCAACTCCAGCTGGGCCCAGGCGTCAGGCAGCAGAGAAGAGGCTGTGACACTGGCTGACGCTGGGACAAACTGTATATCCACCGTGACTGCAATTACCAGCCCCAACTCTGTCCTCTTTCCCCGGGTGGCCCTGTTCCTAATACCCTGACTTTCTTTTCCTGTTTCTTACCTTCTTCCCCCTTCCCTATCTCCCACGGCCTTTTATGTCTTAGGTTCATATAACTGATGTGATAGAGCTACAAAGACTCTGGACTGGCACCAGTGTTGGGGCTGGAGAAGGTTCAGGGGTACAATGTTTGGAGTGAACCTATCTTGATTCAAGAACTGTCTCTGTCACTGACTGGCCCTGTCTCCTTGGGCCTCAGTTTCCTCATCTGTGTTATGGGATTAATAGCCCTCCTTGTCCCCTAAGCTTGTGAGGGATGAAGAAGACCAGGTTCCTCAAGAATTCAGGATGAGGCTTCCTGGTCTCTGGCCCAAGTTGAGTCCATGGTGGGAACCCCCTGATCCCCTCACACACGCACTGCCTGCCTAAGTAGCTCACAACCTCTAGAGACCAGCCTCTCCCTCACAACACCCCTTCCGATGCCCACAGAGTCCACTCAACACAACCGAGTATTTCATTACATGATGAGGCTTTTACTTCAATTTGAAGCAGATGGTTGAGCACAGACATGAACAGCTTTGGCCTTTTGAGCACAAGGAAAGAGCAGGCCTTGGCTTTGAACTACCCCCCACCCCGCATCCTGGCCCGCTCCCCTGGTCCCTTCCCCCCTCTGCCCTCCTGCCCACCTGTGATAATCACTGCCTTCCCATGGGGTGCCGCCTTGCTTTCCCCAGCCCAAGGGGACCACTGGCTGGGAGAGCAAAGACCTGGGCAAGTCCCAGGGTGGGGCACGGGGTACAATGGCTTCTCTTCTTCTCCTCACCCTGACTCCCTTCTCAGGCTACTCAGGCCCTCTGAAGGACCCTGGGCCCAGAGGACACTGAGAATCTGGGTCTGAGGCCTGGGCAGTTGATGGACGAAAAAGAAGGGTGCAGGGATGTCAGACACTCTTCTCCATCCCCCAGGCACCCCCAGAAGGTTTCGCTTGCACCCAGCCAGCTCAGGTGCCAGTGTAGACAGAGCAACAGTTCAGAGGGTCACGTGCTTCCCACGGTCACCAAATGCCCATGTCTCGCAGGAGCTCCTGGTAGCCCTGCCGGTTCATCTTTGGCTTGAGATAGGACTCAGGAGACAGGAGGAACAGTCACAGAGCCACGGCGTGGCTTCCCGCTGGCAGGTTTAGACCCTCCCCCATCTTGTTCAGCGTCTCTGTCAAATCTTTGGCAGTGAATTTCCACGGCCTCAGGGCCTAAGGCTGCGCCTTAAGAGGAGGGCTGAGCTCTCCCTCTCGACCAAGGAGCAGCAAAGTGCGAAACCACCACATGGCCATTGCCGCAGCTAGGGGAGGACAGGAGGTGACGGGGAGGCCGGCTTGCTCCTGCCCCAGGTGACCCGGCAGTGGCAGCAGCGGGTGGAAGGCTGATAGCATCTTGGAGAAGATGGAGACTGGGGCTGGTGTGGCACACGGTCCTCATTCCTCGGCCTGGCTGAAGAGAGGCCACTGCAGCGTCCTCCGTCGGCCCATGGCCACTCACTCCTGAAAGAGATGACCAGCCGTGAGAAGCAGCCCTTGCTCACCCCAAGGCCAGTGGCTGGCACCCACAGAGCCTCCTCCCACTTCATCCTCCAGCCGCCCTCCATCTGCAGAGGACAGCACCTTGCAGAGGTCCTGGCCAAGGACAGGCCACCTCCATGTGGTTCCTCCCCCTTAGCCTCTGCCCTTCAGAGCCCCTGCTGTTTTGTGGTTTGCGTGGAAGAAGCCAAGAGACCAAGTATCCCAAGAATTCAGGGACACCATGGTCCATAGGGCCACATCACCAGGCTGGCGAGGCTCCTCTGCAGGCTGGTGGCGCCCCCTGCAAGGCTGCCCATTGCTCCTCTGTCTCCCACACCATTCAAAAACAGCGTCGCACCAGTAGTCACAAGGTCCACTCTTGCCAGGTGCGTGGACACATGCCTGTAATCCAGTCCTCAGTAGGCTGAGGCAGGAGGACTTCTATGAGTTTGAGGCCAGCCTGGGTTACGCAGTGAGTTCAAGGCCAGCCCCCACTACACAGTGAGACCCTGTCTCATCAACAAAACAAACAAGGCCCATTCTGGTTGAAGCCGTCACCTGCCGGCTAAGTGCCGTAACACAAGTCGCTTAACTTCCTTGGCCCTGTTTCCTGTCCGCGCAATGGCACTGCTGAAGCAGATCAATATACTTCACACTTTCTTTTTAGCAGCACAAATGGAGGCCATCCTGTGCCGCTCCAAAACAGGTAACATCACTACATCTACTTGGAGCACCGGGGAGACACAGGCAAAGGGATTCAGAGTAGGACTCTGTTCCCTCCACTAAGGAGCCTGAGACACCCTGAGATTCCAGAGAGCTCACCTAGGTTCTACCCCAAACGGGGTCAGATCGACTGTACCTCTCCAAAGCCTGAGCTCTGGACTCTCCCTCAGGCGGCTGAACTGGCGCCTGCTCTCAAGACCAGAAGGTGTCTCAATTGGTAGTTCAGATGGCCCTGAACTCACTACATAGCCCATGCTGGCCTCCAGCTCTCAGCAACCCTCCTGTCTCAGCTTCCCAGAATCTGGAGATTACAAGAGGGTGCCACCACGCCCAGCGCCTCTCAAGTCTTGCAACAACCCAGACCCAACCGAGAAGTTCTTTCTCATTGTTAAAGCAGAACATCTGTCATCCCCTTCACATGCAGGGAGCTTTCCTGCATTCCACTAGGCTGAGCAATCGTGGCTCTGAGAAGGCAGCGCAAGCCGTTGGCGGCACCAGGATTTGAATCCAGATCATCAGTGTTTATCCTACCACACCGAGGCAGCCCTAGCGGAGTCAGGGCCTGGAGAGGCGTGAGGGAGCCAAACCACGAGGCTAGAGGGCCACTAACCACAGCCCTGGCGAGCCTCGAGGGGCAGGGCGGCCGCTGGGGCTGCAGCCAAGCTGTGCTCGCTTGACTGCAGGAGCGGAGGCTGGGGCCAGGCTGGAGGTGGAGACACAGGGGGGTGAGGGCGCCGTGCCAGGGGGAGGCCGAGCTCTGCAGCCAGCAGCCGCTATGTGGCGAAGAAAGGAAAAGTGAGGGCCCCGCAGGATCTTGATGTGGTGACTCCCAGGCTCCCCTCTCCTAGCCCACTGTGCAGGGCTGGCCCCAGCAGGAATCTGCTTTCTGTTACTGAGTCTGAGGAGGAGGATTAAGAAGCGGAAAGGAAACCCGTGGGGATGGCACTGGGGCTGTGGTCCGCTGCTGATTTACAGCCCATGTCTCTCCGGCGCTGCTGCCCGGGCGGCCCCACTGTGCTCTAGGCCCAGAGCCACCCTGCCGGCCAGGCAACCCAGGCCCAGGCCCAGGCCCGGCCACAAGCCCTCTGTAGGCTCTCAGACCCTCTGAAACCACAACGGCCACCCCAGAGTCAGGAGACAGGCCACTCTTACTGAGGCTGGACCTTCAGTTCCTGACCCCTCTCTCTTCCCTGGGTGCATACACTGGACCTCAGTCCACCACTCCCCGACCCAGGAACCCGGCACATGTCCTGTCCATTCGAGAAAGCCTTGTATCAACAGAAGCAAGAACGCTGCAACCAGGACCTTCTCTGAATTAACAGTGTATTAAAGGCTCTACAAAGTCCTGCAGTGAAGAAATTCGCCTGGCTTCACTTACCCACCGTTTGCCCAACATCTCTGACCAAGCCATTCCACTACTGTATGTAGAAACTGCCTCCAACCCTGCCCTAGGAGCACAGAAGTATGGGGTGGCTACCTGCAAGGGCTGTGTTCCCTCCCACCGAGCATCTGCAAGCGGCCTTCAGAGCCAGCGGAAGAAACCTCGTGGTGCAACCTCGGGGAGATTTCCCCACAGTCGCTCAGCTGTGCCTGACCACCCAGCCGGTGCCACCCCACTGCATGGGGCTGGGCCTCTGTGGGAGGGGCTGTGTAGCTGTGATTCTGGGGGAGAAAGCATCCCCCATGATGACAGCCACACCGCAGACCCCCTCTTGTGGAAACATACAATGTCCTGCACCATGGCTGGGAGGGGTGGAGAGGACTCCGGTGGGTACTGGGCGGGCCTCTGGGGACCTTACTTCCCGGTGCCCGGCCCCCAAATCTCTCCAGCACAGTCTCACTTTGGAGGGCGCCCTTTACACAGCAGAGTCTGCAGCTGCTGAAATAAACTTGGATGACAACCCACCAGGTTCCCGGTCAGGCGAGTCTGTCAGTGTGGCCAAGCGAAGACAGCTGTGGCGATCAGAAGCCCCTCTCTCCTCCGGGATGCCCTCCGTACCCAGTGCGGCTTCTGATCCACAGCTGCACCCCAAAATATGCTACTTGTTGAACAAGGGAAGAAGTCTTTCCAGGAACAGCCATTTAATTGGCTGGAGCTATGATCTACCAAGGGAGTCTTCCTGTTTCCAACTAAACGCTGAGCATTTCTGTCAAAGAATCTGTCCCTTGGGGGAGTTCGGGGTAATTGCTGTGAAGGCTGGAATAGTCTTGATTGTTTTGCTTTTGTTCACTTGCAGTTTCTTTGTAATCACCTCTCAAGTTGTTTGTCCCTGGCCTTAGGTGCATTGTTCTCCTCCCTTAATCACTTCTGTGTCCTACATGGTAATTATACCATCATGGGGACATTTAAAACATTATATGGTCAGGCATGGTGGTACACACTCAGGAGGATGAGGCAGGAGGGTCACTGCGAGTTCCAGGCCAGTGTGAGCCACTTAAGAGAGATCAAGGTCAGCCTGCACTACAAAAACAGAGCCCTTGCCTCAAAAAATAAAATAAAATAAAAGCAAGTAAAGAAAAGAAAAACCTATTTTACCTGTCTAATAAGTTACTTTACCTTTTAAATTTATTGTTAGTCTACAATGTCCACTTCACCTATTCAACTTTTTTTTTAATATTTTCAAACTGTATGCTATATTAAAGCAACTTAGATACAACCTTTCACATGCAGGGGGGGAAATCCAGTGGACTTGAAATCTTTTTTTTAAAATTAGTCCTAAAAAGAGTTGTCAGATTTCATATGTTGTTTTAAAACTAAAATATGACATAAATATAGGGGAAAAAAATGGGAGAAGTACCTACAAGAATCACATTATTGCCGGACATAGTGGCGCACACTTGTAATCCCAGCACTTGGGAGGCTGAGGCAGGAGGACCGTTGCAAGTTTGAGACCAGCCTGGGCTACACGGTGAGCCCAAGGCTTGCTCAAAATGCATGGTGAGGGTCTGGGGATTTAGCTCAGTGGCATAAGCGCCTGCCTTGTAAGCAGGCAGTCGTGAGTTCGATCCCTGGTACCGATAAAAACGAAAAAGACAAAAAAAAAAAAAAAAAATGCATGGTGAGATCCTATCTCAAGAAGACAAAAATAAATAATAATAATAAAACATCAACACATAGGACCAAAAAGCTAATAAAGTGATTGTTTTTTGTTTTTTGGGGTTTTTTTGTCTTTTTCTTTTTTATCGGTACCAGGGATCAAATTCACAACCACATATTTGCAAGGCAGGCATTTATGCCGCTGAGCTAAATCCCCAACCCCTTGTTTTTGTTTTTTGTACCAGGGATCAAACTCATGACCTTGCACTTACCAGGCAAGTGCTTGAGCTACTGAGCTAAATCCCCAGCCCTAAAGTGATTATCTTTAAGAAAATAAATTTTAAAATCACATTATTAAGCATTATTGTCTTTCCACTTCCAAGTATACTAATGGGTAGGAAAAAAAGGTTGTCCACATTCATCTTGGCCCTAAGTCAGTTTGGGGCCTTGAGCATATTAGTTAACTTCACCAACCAAACCTCAGTTTTCTCATCTTTAAAATGGGTATTTTATATAGACCGGGGTTATAGCTCAGCAGCATAAGTACCTATCTAACAAGCACAAGGTCCTGAGTTTGATTCCCAGTAGCCAATAAAATAAAATAAATAGGTACAATAATAGTATATACTCTCTAGGTTGGTTGCAAAACATCAGTAAGACAACCTAGCCACACCCCTGGCAGCGGCTGGCTTATGGTTCCATAGATATGTGTCCTGAGTTCCACTAAGGAGCATCTGAAAATGTAAAATGACATCACAGGCTGAAAAGTCTCAAAATAGGTAACCACTATTAGTCACTGTAAACCAACTGTCATTTTGACCAATTTACTTTCAATCAATTCTTTCTTTCAAAAAATACACACAATTGTAAAAATTACATAGTGTCCATCATCTCAGGAATGGATAAATGAAATATGGCATAAGCACACAATGGAGTATTACTCAGGCATGAAAAGGAACGAAGTAGGGATACTCTCACAGTACAGGGTGGCTGAGCGTTGTAAGCGATGTGCCATGAGACAGCAGTCAGTGGTAACAGACCACACAGCACACTGCACACCATCAATGTGACACGTCTGGGGTTGGGAAATAGGGACACACACGTTGGCAGGGCCAAAGTCTGGAGGGCAGGAGTCATAGCTAAGGTACACACAGGTACGAGGGCAGTGAAGGTTCTAACCGGAGGGGAAAACGTTCTCAAACCAGCTACGGTGATGGCTGCT